TTAAATTGGTGTACTATTGGTTCTTATAGTTGTCGAAAAGGTTACTGTTAATAATAATGTTGTATGAGTACCATTGGCAGAACTGATAGGTCTAGTTGATAAACTAAAGTTGATAGAGTTTTTTAGTTTCCAATCTTTTCAGAGAAATTCTTGTGCAGCTTCTTGGTCCATTACTTCAACAACAACTAACGGTGGTTTCCCTGTTTCAAACTCTTCTGCCTGGTTAACTATGTTAGTGGTTTCGTTGTTAGGTTTTCTTTTTTTCAGTCGTCTCGTGCGTCTCAAATTGGGAAGTTGAAGCTATGGCTAACGCAGGACATGTAGAATGCTTTTGGATTTATTTCTAAGATCCGTGCTTGTACTTAACAGTAGATACTTTTTAAATTAGAACCGTTATTATACCATTGTCCCCTTCAGTCAATAAATTTTTGTCAAAACTAATTAATTTTTTTTTATAAATTTTGTTTTTCTATAGGTGTATATGTATATTTTTCTCTACAGATAGCATTTGGTCATGAAAAGACCTTATACCGGCTGGGTCTAGTTACATAGTTTGTTGAAATATATTTGCTTTCTTTTAATAGTTAAATAATTTTATTTTTTTGTAGTTAACCTTATATAATTAAATCATAAAAACTGCCACTAATGGTCTACTAAGTTGCCGATGAGCAAAAACAGTGGACTGCCTAAAAAGCTTATATAGGTCCACTGAAATTGCTGGGTGGTCTACTGTTTTTCAAACTTGGATATAAAAGCCTATTTTAAATGCTTTAATGATGACTTCAATCAAGTTTGAAGATTTACAATAAAGTGAAAAGCGCTGAAATAATTTCATTTTATTAAGTAACTGTTAACTAATAAATAGCATAACACTCAAATCCCCACCACGTCCCTGGTAGTACCGCGCTCAACTCGTTTCTCCGCGTAGCGGCCTTGTTCATCAAGGTTCGTGTTTCGGAGTTATAGAGTTGAGAGAGGGTTATAACCACAAATATTTGTGGTTTACTACTTATTTAAATAAGTAGTCTCCTCGTCTGTAGTGGCCTTCTCGGCCTTCAGGAAGTGAATTAAATTTAGAAAAAAAAATATATATATTTTGTTTATAAATAAATATAAAATACTTACAGGTACAAGAAAAAGTATGTTTATTAGAGGAATCACATACATCTCGACATATTTGCGTACTGTCACATGGTTTAACCTGCTCACAAATTTGACCAACCTAAAATACAACAGTTTGTAAAAACTTTCAAAATTTTTACCCCAAATGTGTTGTTTATCTCATAGTATGCCTTATAAGTTTTTTAACTCTACTATAATTAAAATTCAATCAGGCACAAGTCACAAGTACAGAAACGTGGAAATTGAACATAAAACAAAGATTAGTTTTGTTTGTAAATAAAAAATAGTTTTTGTTATTATAAAATTTTACGTTTAGAATATTCATACGGTATCATTGGTAAAAGTTTTTACCAAAAGGTATAAAAAATTGCAAAAAAAAAATAAATAAAAAGTTAGTAAACAGTTGTTGTATTAAAAATAAAATACCGAGAAAGTTGAGATCAATTTGCCCATTCAAATTTTTTTAATGCGGAGAAGTATTTTTTTAAATACTGCAATGAATTTTTTTAATGGAATGATTCACAGGACAAGTTTACTGGAAGATTACTGGGTTTTAGAACAATAACACTACCCTAGAAGTACCCTAGAAAATATTAATGGAAGTCCACTGGGTTTTGTTAAAAGTTCATTGGTAATTTGCAAGTAAAAGATCACTGGGTTTTAGCATACTAAAAGATTCCTAAGTTGTAAGTAATAAATTCCAAGTTGCTTTTTAGAGCTTTAATTGACTTAATGTAGCAGTAACAGAAAGCAGTTTAATTAGAGCAAATTTATAGGCAGTAATTAGCGGCTTTTGTTTAATTAAAACACAAATCAATTATTACAACGCTAACAAATTTTGATGTTGAAATTTAGACATTTATTTTTTGATAAAGAAAAATATATTAGCTGGAAATCCGTTTCATTCTTTGTTTGAAAAACAATGCATAAAAATATTTATTTTTGACTTTAATTTAAAATAACATTTTTGTGTAAAGCATGTTCAAATAACCAAGTGTTTTTTATTGAAACTACCAAGTTTAAAATCCTAAAAATTGCAGAGGTTTTAATTGCTTTTTGAATAAAAACAAAACATAAGAAAAGTTTTAATGTTTTAACAAAAGTAATTATTTTTTTGTAATTTAAGTTCAAAAACTTATATTTTTATTGTGTAAAAATTTGAATTAATAAAATTGAAAGAGTAACAAACAAATTATATATATATATATATATATATATATATATATATATATATATATATATATATATATATATATATATATATATATATATATATATATATATATATATATATATATATATATATATATATTTTGTTTTTGTTAAACTAAATAGTATTATTTCAATAAAATATGGTAAAAATTTAATCTAAATGATAAGTTTTGCTGATAGAAATAATTATATTTTAAAAATTAGTTCTTATTCTCAGGTTGGTATTACTTTAATTATTTAATGTTATTTTTTTAAACTAATTTAAAGTGCTTATTATTTCAAGTCGTTTAGGTAATATGAGTACTTTTGCTACTTTTTTACAAATATTTTTAAGAAAAAAATTCAGAAACAAAATATTTATGTGGATCATAAAAAGTGATATTTAAAAATTGTTTATTCACAAAAATGTTGGTTCCAGCATAATTAATTTTAAAGATAGTTCAACTTTTGCTATAAAAGTTGAAATATCTTTAAAATTAATTATGCTATCTATAGCTTTTTATCACATTTGTTTAATAAAGTTTCTACTTATAAAACTTATAAATCTAGTTATAAAAAGTTACAATTTGACTATTAGAGTTGTCTGGTTCACGCGCCACTAAGTACACACATCAGTTAATATAGCATTAAACGCAAAGTGTATATACATCAACTTATAGTTTTGGTTTAGCAGACACTTTTTTAAATAAAAGAAAAATCTTTTTCCACATTTTAATTTTATACTGTCTTTATTTGTTCAATTCAAAGCAACATTTTAGAGAAAATTATTATCATTATTTATAAACTGTATTTCATTTTCAAACTGATTTTTCAATTTAAAGGAACATTTTATAGGAAAACATTATTATTATTAATTTGCTTACTATAATGGAGTTTTTATATATAAATTAACAAGTTTTACCAAACTACACTAAACTCTCTCAGTTTAAGATTTTTTTTTCAGTTGTTAAAGAAAGTTTGCACGTAGATGTATAAAAACTTACAATTTTATTATCAGTGTTGTCTGGTTGTAAAACCATCCAGAGACCTTTTGCAATCTGCTGAGGATTTGTGTCTGATATCAGTTCACATATCATTTCATCTTCCTTCCAATTAACTAAAGTGCATTTAAAGTTGCTGACGCATGCTACAGCACAGTCAGAAGAATTGACATTATTTAACGATTCAATAACATTTCCATTCATGTATGCATTTTTAATTTTGTTAAACTTTGCATGGAAGTTGCAAGGTAAACGAGTAATAAAGCTTGTAACCGTTAAGAATTGCCTGAAAATCAAAAGAAAGCTAAACAATAAAACAATTAGAGTAATGTAAGCTATATGGGGTTTTAAAAAAGTAATATATTAATATTTTATTCTAAAAAATATTCCTGCGGCGTTATATGATCTTAACCTGATAGCTCATAGTTCTTATTTGACAGATTACGTGTTATAAAAGTCTTTTATTTAGGGTTAAAACAATTAAAGTTAGGCTAAAATTTTTAATTGTATTCTGTTTTTTTCTGACAACTTTTAAAAAATATCATTTTTCTGAACTGAGAATGTTTGTGACATACTTCTAGTTTCAGAAATATTAATTATGTTTAAGTCTCTTAAACTTAAGTAACAGAGAAATAGTAGATTAATGTTAATGTACAATAAAAATACTTTTGTTTATTTTCATTTAGATATATTTTTTCCTAGACAGATAACTTCTTTGACATCAGTTTTTACCAGTTTGAGTACACCATGCATCAGGGTATGTTTATGCCAAGAGACAGTGCTACAATAAAAGAAGATCTAGACTCTTTTCAAGATTAAAGACAAGACAGAAAAATGTTTATCAGTACTTGCGTTGATGAAGAGTTAGAGACCTAATAAAAATGAATATTGTTATTATTATTATTATTATTAATATTATTACATACCGCAAGGAAAAAAATTCTGGAACAGAACATGAGTACATGTTCTGCTATAAGCAGATCAGGGGTATAGTGCCGGTCATTGTTAATTGTTATACTTTAGTTTGATTTTTCTTTCCGTCAAAAATGTTTTTAAAACTTTCAACACTCTTCTTGAACACAGTCAAATTGTCCAAATTATTCCAGTGATTGACAACTCTGTTAGTAAAAAAACTGTGTCGGTGTGCCCAGTTCTTACCCTGTGGAGTAATAGTTTCTGTTACCCTGTGGAGCAATAGTTTCTGGTTTGGTACACCAATTAACATGGTCTGCTTTATTCTCAACTTTATACTGTTGAATGCAGTCTGCACGCGCTCTACTATCTGTTAAAGTAGTAAGATTAAGAATTTCCAATCTTTTTTCATAATTAAAATTTTTAAATGACTGTTTGCTTTGGAAGCACATTTTGTTGTATGCGTTTTCTAATTGAGGATAGAAGTGACTTTAAAGTTGAATTTAAGTCTGTTGAGGTATGGCAAGTTTTTCCAAAGGAAATTGTTAAAAAGAGGGTGTTTTTGGGTATATTTATTGTTGGGGAATATAATTACAACAAAATTATATGGAAATTGGATAAGACTCATGAGTTCATCAGTACGTTGGGTGAAAACTTTATTCACCAATCAGTCACCTTTCCAACATTTATTAACTCAGGTGGTGACTGTTGCAATTACCTTGATTTAATTCTATCAGAATACAAATACAAGAAAAATTTGTTATTAAATTTAAGGTTACCATAGCCAAAACGCATAGTTTTACATTTATCAACATTCAGTTTTATGAGCCAAATTTCTGTCCAAGTTACAATTGCATTTGTTTCCTTTTTAATTTTTGGGAATCTTCTTTATTTGATATTCTGGCTATTAATTTACTGTCATCAGCATAAAGCTTGCAGAAATAATATTTTAAGACATTTGGAAGATCGTTTATATAGATTATAAATAACAGTAGTCTCAGCACACTTCATTATGGTACGCCGCTAGTGACATTGGCCCAATTTGAAATGCTATCTCCAAGCACAACACATTGTTTCCAGTTTACTAAAAAGTTTAATATCCACTTTAACAATTTTCCATTTATGCCATATGCTTGTAGTTTTTGTGAAAGTCATACATGTGGCACTTTCTCGAATGCTCTGGCTAAATCTAAAAAAAACTACATCAGCCCACTGTTTATTTAAGAGTATTGTCTTGAATTCATCTAATGTTTCCAATTAATTAGTAACCAAACCTTTCTTGAAAACAAATCCGTGCTTTTGTTTCGCTATGAGTTCATATAAGTAGAGATTATTCAAAATTATGTCTTTTATGATTCGCTCCAAAACCTTACATGGAATTAAAGTCAAAGAAACTGGGCGATAGTTTGCTGGGTTACTACAATTACCACTCTTATGTAACGGTGTCACATTGACTAATCTCTACATGTCAGGGATAACTCCTTCCTGTAAAGAGCTTGAAAATATCATAAAGAGTGGCTTGGAAAATTCTAAGTGACATGTTTTTAATGCCCAACGGTTAATTCCATTGAACCCTAGAGCTATGTTAATGTCCAAGTTGAATAGATGCTTACTAATTTCTTTAATGGACAGAGTGAGAAGTCTTGTATTCGCTGATATACGATTCTCAAAATGTTTTAGCAATACTTTACTCGATTCCTCTACAAATACAGATTTAAAAAAGTTATTAAGAATGTTGCTTATGTCTGTTTCAGAGTGTGTTACAGAGCCATTGGTATTAATCATATTGCTTATCAACATTGATGCTGTTTGCCTTAGTTTCTTATAACCATTTAATCGTTTCTTATTTGATTTATAATCTACAATATATTTTTCATAATCTAATACAAATTTTTTTAATATTCTTTTTACTTCTTTTTGTACTGCTTTATAATTTTTGACAATGGATATAAATTTTGAACGAATATGCCATATCGATCATTGTTTTTTTCGTTAATAAATAGATAATCCCAGTCAACTATGCTTTGCTCAAAACTTAACATAAGGAAGTTACCTTTCCTTAAATTATAACTTGATCTTTTGAATGTTTGTTCATGAACATTGGCTATAAATAGGTTCCAGCAAATTGATACATAAAATTGTTCAGTGCTATCACCTAACGGTGGATTTGACTCAAGGTCAAAAGCTCTATTCATGGAATATGATATAATTAAACCAAGGTAGTTTTAACAATTACCACCTGATATATGTTGGAAAAGTGACTGATTGGTGAAAAAAGTTTTTACCCAATGTACTGATAAACTCATGATCTGACGCAGCTGGTCCACTGGAGCATAAAGGAGTGTTATCCAATTTCCATATAATTTTGTTGTAATTAAATTCTCCAACAAAACACATACCCAAAAACACCCTCTTTTTAACTAAGTTTGAAACTGCAACAATAGAGCATTTTAAAGCATTTTAACTTAATTGTATGTCATATTGCGTATCACTTGGTTTGGGTGGAGGCCTATAAATGCAACCAAATAAAAGTATTTCTTTATTAAATTTGATTCCATACCAAACTTGTTCTAACTTTGTACTACATACAAAGTTAGAAAAAGTTATGTTAGGGTTACCATATGTTGGTAACCTCATGTTCTATGTTGGTAATCTCAAAAGAATCAATTTCTTTTGATACATATAAAGCCACTGCCCCGCCACGACTTGGTCTATATTAATTGAACAGTTTGTAATTTATTAGATGAGTGCATTTATATTTGTTAAACTACGTTTCGTTAATAGTTTGATTATGTTTGGCTTTTAGTGAGTTTTTCAAAGCATTTAATTGTATCATCTTGTTATTAAGTAATGTGGCGTTAGTGTAATAAAATGTGACATGGTCGGTTAAAAAACATTTTTTTGAGAGTGGGTTATTATTAAAATGCTTAGATAAAACATCTTATAGGCCTGATTTGGTTGACAATGATATACTATTTATACTATTGCAGATTGATTGATGCAGAACTTGCACTTTGAGCTGTTTTCCTGTCCACAAACGAAAGTTTTGATCGGCTGTTGATTTTGAGGGTCCTAGACACATTGATGTAGCGGACCCTTTCACTGCGGATGACGAACCGAAAGGGCATGTTAAGGTTTCCATGTTTTTAAATACGTTTTTCATGTGAGGTTGCATTATTTGTTTTTCCCCCTCACCTTTTTGGTGCGCTTAATTTATGATTAAAAAGTAGAAAATTGTTAATTTTTTAGTTATTTTTGTTCTGAAAAAAAAATCTTTCGTTTAACAGTTAATATTTATACACATTGGTCATTTAAAGACAAAAAGACTCACAAATTATTTAAAATTTACATAAAATCACGTTTTTCATGTCTTTTCCAACCTCTTTTCGGTTTTTTGCACAACTTGCATGGTATGCTGTAAAAAATCTTCGTCATTTCAGCCACAAAATCCTGCACAAGTTTGATGTGGCGCTCAGCCCTGTCATTTACTACTGTTAGATTCTCTATTTGATGTTGAAAATGTCTGTACGAATCATTATTTTATGCATCATTATTTTATTTATTTTAAAGAAGTTATTAATATTTTTATCAAAAAGTCTATAGAACGGTTTAAGAAATAAATAAATGTAAATTAAAAATGTAAACTTAAATTATACCGAAAATAAATTATTATGTCTTGGATGAATAAAGTAAGATGTCTTGAATCATTTAAATATGTTGGTTTTTGCAATATTTTATATTGTTTTTATTAATTTTCTATTCAAGTAATTGCTTTTATGTAAAATGTTATCTGACCTTTTAGTTATACTTTTCAAATATAAAAATTTTCATAAAACATATAATGGCCGATGATGATGATGGGTTTCTTTGTAAATCTTCACGGACTAGTCGGAGTACTGTAAGAAACATAAATGAGAAGAACTACTTGATAAATACATGTTGCAGTAGTACTCCTCCAATGAGATATACTTTTCCTAGGATTAGCAGGGATTGTCAACCAGGAAACTCAGATACATCCTGCAAGATAAGTATTGCTCCACAGAAAACTAATAGATGTAAAAGAACAATCTACATACTTCAGTATTCACTAGTTTGCACTAAACAGGTATTATTTTAAGATTTAATTAAAATAATGAATTAAAAAAGCTTTTTCTAGGTAAAAAACTTGTAAAACAAATATATATTTTTTTCCTTTTGAATTTTGCTTAAACTACCCACACTTAAAGAAGTTTGTCTTCGAATATATTGGCTCAGGTCAAATAAGATTAATCAAAATGCAAAACTATCATGTGCAAAAAAGACAATGTCAAGTTCTATGCTTTGCATTCGAGGGGAGTGTAAGAAAAGTCACAAGAGAGAGTTTACTGGAGTATGTATTCTTAGAGAGATGTCTTTGGGATAAGGGTGGATTTGATTCAAGATTTCGTATTACAGAAAAAGTAGTGAAGAAAAAGCTTAAGAAATCTTATGAACGCTACAAAAAACTGTGTAGCCTTAGAACCCTTGTGGAAATAAACAAGATCAAAGAAGAGCAATATAAAAAAAAGAGAGTTTTATAAAAGAAACTTTTTCTGTTTATAAAACAGA